TCCAGTTTCTATGATTCTATGGTTCTATGAAATACATCTCAAGATCTACCTTGCTTTTCTAGCCTCTTACTTTATTCTCCATGGTGCCCTCATGTTGCTTCCAACTTAAAGAGATCCTAAGGCAACCCTATCACTACATTTTCTTGGCATGTTTTGTTCAGAAGGGGATTCATACTCCTCTGAGTTTGTGGTGTATTCATACCGGACCTTCTACCAAAGCTAGGTTACAAGTCAGCTAACAAAACAAAATTAATTACAAATAAAAGCACAGGTAACTTAGGGGGGTTGCAGACTGCCAGAAATAGTGCAAATTGAGTCCGCTTTTAGGGTTAGGGTTAGGGAATCAGGGGAACTGTAGTTTATTGTGGCACTAGAGCTCTCTGACAGAGAAGGCTCAATGTCTCAGAAAAAAAAAACAATTCCCATGATTCCCTAGCACTAACCCTAACCCTAAAAGTGGACTCAATTTGCACTATTTCTGGCAGTCTGCAACCCCCCTAAGACATTTAAACAGTATGTTTAAAATGGTATTAAACTGTATACAGAATTAAAGCAATTTAAAACAGATCGAAAAGAAAAGAATGAAAACAGTACAGCATATTAGGAAAGGAATTCTATACACTATCAACTTGTCTGTCCAGTTTACGGGGACTAAAGAGCAATTTTGTATAGAGATTCAGAACTATCTTTTGATAAATCTATAGAGTATTTGATTAATTCTTAATTGGGGGAAAAGGCCTTTTGACATTTCTGGAAAAGCTTTCTGTTTCTCTTTCCTTATTACGGCTCTTACAGTAGTTCCTCCTGTCTGAAGAGGAAAATCTGTGGTTATGAGAGACTGAATCATTTAGCTGAACAACCCTGCACTTGTCATAACGTTTAGTTTCATTAATTAGTTCAACTGAGGTGTGCATTTCTTAGATACTATGTTTTCCAATTCAAGGGTCGCAAACATTCTCATCGTTGTTTTTAAACCGTCATTAATTCTAAGTTTCCCAAAGGTCTGTATTTACCTTTTTATAATGTATATTCAACCATTTATGTAAAAACGCAAATAAACCCACCCACGGATGGTAAACACAAAACAAGACAACCAAGAAAAATCAGAGTGCAAAATCAACGTTAGTTGAACTCAATGGCCTTACTGAATAAGCAGATTAAGCTGATGTCTCAAGTCATATACTGTCTAGTGTTAGCAGCGTTCTCTAGGGAAAACATTACTTACTGTTGGTACCACAAATGAACAGTCCCTGCTCCTAATGGATGTGTACAGAATCTCAGTAGGCACTGTTACCCAGATCATGTGAATTTGAACAGGATGCCTGGGAACACATGGAAAAAGACATACTCAGAGGGCAAAGCCAGATATGAGACTACAGTGAGCCCTTGGTATCCTTTGGAGTTTGGCTCCAGGACCCCCTGTGGATACCAAAATCTGTGGATGCTCAAGTCCCATTAAATACAAAGGTGTAGCAAAATGGTGTCCTCTATATAAAATGGGATAGAGGCAGCTGCCTTCAGGAATGCATCCAGGCAGCTGCCTTCAGGAATGCATCCAGGTGCCTTTGCAGAACGTGGGAAATGGAAAAAGATATTTCCAAAGCCTTTTGCCTTGTACCCATCCAGTCATGCCATTTAGCTCAGCGCTGTTTACTCTAACAGTCAGCAGCTTTGGGGGAAATCTCAAGGAGAGATTTTTCCATCACTGTCTCCCTGATCCCTTTAAACTAAAGCTGTCAAAACTTGAATCTGGTGCTTTCTACATGCTCTACTCTTGAGCCATGGTCCCAACCTGTTTTTCATGAGCACTACTGAACATCAGAAGCATAATGGTAGAATCTCTGACTTGTACGCTTCACCTCTGGGAGAGGCAGGATATATAAATAAACTATATTATTATTATTATTATTATTATTATTATTATTCTAGATTAAGGGGACCTGTTAAGAAGCACTGCCAAAACCTTCCATGTCACTTCAAATCCTGGAAACATAACTTTTCCTTCCTCATTCAAGTTCCTATACCTTAAATTCTTGGATGTCTCGGACTTCAAGCGTTCCTCTGCCCATCTTGCTTTATTAACCTCACCACCCTGGCTTGTATCCCTAGATGGTAAGGCTCATCCACAAAGGTTAACCTGATGGGATTTGGCCTTTGTCCACCTCTAGCCGTGAAGTGTCAGATTTACTTGAGAAAAGATGTATGACAAGACACAATCAGGGTTTGTGTGCAATCTGTGCCAAAAAATATCTCCAGGCTCTGGCTTGAGAAGAAATTTGAATTCTAGGCTCAGAAGGTCTGTTCAGTACAGCAGTGGCTTCAGTGGGATGGCAAAACTGCTCTGATTTTTCTTCCAAAATTAAAGACCCTATGTAAGACACTGGACATATTGGGGGGTGGGGGGTGGGATAAAGTTAAACTAACACCGAGAGTAGATTCACTGTCTCCACTGGCATGAAGCTCATCCGCTGATGATGTTTGAGTAAATGCATATTTGTTTTGCATAGAATCATAAAATCATAGAATTGGAAGGGAAAACATATCATACTTTGCTCTGCACTAGAATTCAGACTTGGAATACAAACCACAAAGCAAACAAAGAAATTGCATATGTAAGGAGGATTGAGGACACAAATATTCTCATTTCCCTGCATTGTTTTTAATATTTAATACACTCGCCCCTCCGTATCCATGGATTCTTCATCACAGATTCAACTATCCACAGCTTAATGAGATGGGTGGTTGTTGTTGTTGTTGTTGTGTGCTTTCAAGTCATTTCCGACTTACGGTGACCCTAAGGTGAACATACCATGGGGTTTTCTTGGCAAGTTTCTTCAGATAGCATTTGCCACTTGCCATCATCTGAGGCTGAGAGTGTGCGATTTACCAAAGGTCATCCAGTGGGTTTATATAGTCCAGCTGGGATTTGAACCCTGGTCTTCCAAATCCTAGTCTAACACTCAAACCACTACTCCACCCTTGGTCACCCGTCTAAATGTGAAATTCATTTAAGTTTTGTACACACCTTAGAGACATAGCCTAAAAGTAATGTTACACACAACATTTTTAATCATTTTGTGTATGAAACCAAGTTTGTGTCCACTGAACCATCAAAAAGCAAAGGTGTCACTTATCTCAACCACTCATGTGGATAACTGTGGATTTTGGAATATTTTGGATTTTGGAAGTCCAGATAAGGGAGACTCAACCTGTATAATGAAAAACACCTGCATAGGCGAGAAGCGTTAAGGAACACTTAGAGACAGGGTGGTGTAGTGGTTTGAGTGTTGGACTACGACTGGCGACCTGGGTTCGAATCGTGGCTTGGCCATGGAAACCCACTGGGGCAAGTCACACACACTCAGTCTCAAAGGATGACAATGGCAA